CGACCGACCGACCGACCGACCGACCGACGACCGACGACGACGACGACGACGACGACGACACACACACACACACACACACACACACACACACACACACACACACACACACACACACACACACACACGTAGAACCATGTAAACACACCGTGTGATTCTGCGAGCATGTATTAGCCGTGTGTGTGAGAGAGAGAAGCCTTCCTCTTTACACCCACACTGTGGTTTAACCAGAGACATGGGGTTGGGGGGGGGGGGGTTTAAGTTCACAGTGCTGGTCCATGTGTGATGCGTGCTGATGCTGTTGTTGTTATTTTGTTGTTGTTGTGTTACTGTCTCCTTCCCCATGTTGTGACAGGTCATGCGTTTGTATGTTGGCTCTTGTTGGTCTGTGTTACACTATCCATCTGTCTGTCTGTCTGTCTGTCTGTCTGTCTGTCTGTCTGTCTGTTTGTTTCTCTATTTTTCTTCTTTCTGTCCATTCGTCTGTCCTTTTCTTTGTGTGTCTGTATTTCGTGTGTAGCTGTCTTCCCCTCCTCCTGCTCCTCCTGCTCCTCCTCCTTCTCCTCCTCTAACCCGGTCTCTTCTCACTCTGGTACTTACAGATAGGGGGCGTCACGTAACCCCCCCCCTGAAAGCACTTTGCCTCCCAATTCCGCGTGGTTCCAAACGGGCAAGGGGGGTCTTATTCCCAGAATGCTTTTGGGTAGAGGGGGCCTGGTCTTGAATTTATGATACTTTGGTTGCAGACTTTAGTGTGTAGTTTGGACTTATTGTCCTATTAAGATTGATATCAGATTGGTAAATAAAGAAACATAGTATTTTGCGCCAAAATACTTAGTGAGTTTTTCCAAAACATACAAAAAAAATAATTTAAATGGGAATTCAATTTAACGTGTTTTGGGATTGGTGCCAGAGTGAAAGCAGCCGCTGCGCACCGATTAGTCATTTTTTCAGCCAGGCCAGTGAGAGCTGGTTGCTGATTGGTTGGTTGGTCGGTTTGTTATCCCCTCTTCTCTGGAACTGAGCTCAGGTCAGTTCTTACAGCACAGCCGGCAGAGAGCACTGTCTGGTTTCACCGCAGATTTGGCTCCAATCGTTGCATTGGGCTAATTGGCATAGCGTTCGAGCTAATTGGATATTTTTTGAAACACTTTGGTACAACAGCTTTAAATGAATTACATTATCTATATCTGAGCCGTGTCTGCCTCTCTGTCATGCTGGGCTGAAACACTGACTGCTTTCGTGCTTCAAAGGTTAAAATAGCTAAAAACATATTTAGCTAATTCTTTGACAAACCAGCAGGTAGATGAGCAGGGAGAAAGAAAGACAGACAAAACTGTAATCCCAAAAAGATACACACACACACACACACACACACACACACACACACACACACACACACACACACACACACACACACACACACACATTCAGGTAAGTAATAACAGCTTTTGAAGGCTGTGATGACACAGTGGTGGCAGCGTTTGCTGTGCTCTGATGGCCTCTTAGCTTAATCTCTCTGCACTCTTAAAGCAGCTGACTCCCTCTGAAAAAATTTGCTTTATTTATCTTAAGTTATCTTTTCACTTCATTTTCATTTCAGCCAATCAAGTTTCTTGGCAAGAAAATTCAGACCTTTTCAAAATGGCCGCCGTGCAGGCCTTTTGCTTTAAAAGTGCCACCAGGGCTCTCTTCCGATCCCTCTGTGATTCTCCTGTTTTCTTCCTCCCTTCCTCTCGCTGACATTATCACAAATTGTGCTGTCCTTGAATGGGATTAAATACAGACCTTTGTGTCACTGCTGTCACTGCAACCCAAATCGATCAAGTTTATGTTTGCATTGGGTGGGAAGAACGAAAGACTTGAGCATTTTCGAGGAATTCTGAAAGGACAGCAACGCTTCTTTTCCCTACCGTGCAACTTTTCTGCTCCTCTTCTTCTGCTTATATCCTAGCTATTGATCCTTGGTATGAGCAAGCAATAGGGCAGGGGCGCAAGCTTCTTGTACAGAAAGACTGAAATTAGCCATAAGCTGAAAACTAAAATCCATATAAATGTCAAAAATTCCTACATGTACCTTTGCTTTGCCCCTGCCTGAGGAATACTTTGTTTCGTAGCTTGGTCTTGGTTTGATCTTATGAATGCAATGCTTTGACGTTTTGGTGATCCTGACTGAAGTTCTTAAGAGGTCACACTATTAGGGGGATCCTTCCTCTATTATTTTAATCATTCTCTCTCTTCTATTAGTCTATCCATCTGCACATCCATCCATTCTTCCATCCATCCATCCATCTACCCCTAAAGCCCTAACCTATCCATCCTTCCATATAACCCTAAAACCCTAACCTATCCATCCTTCCATATAACCCTAAAACACTAACCCTATCCATCCGTCCGTCCATCCATCTAACCCTAAAACCCTAGCCCTATCCATCCATCCATCCGTCCATCAAACCCTAAAACCCTATCCATCCAACCCTAAAATACTAATCCTATTCATCCATCCATCCATCCAACCCTATCCATCTACCCCTAAATCCCTAACCCTATCCATCCATCCATCAAACCCTAACCCTATCCATCCATCCATCCAGCCCTAACCCTATCCATCCATTGTCCATCCATCTAACCCTATCTATCTATCTACTGTATCTATCTATCTATCTATCTATCTATCTATCTATCTATCTATCTATCTATCTATCTATCTATCTATCTATCTATCTATCTATCTCTATCTATCTATCTATCTATCCCTCCATCTATCCTTCCATCCTTCTAACCCTAACCTTACTCTATCTGTCCATCTATCTATGTATCTATCATCCATCCATACACCCATCTGTCCATTTAACCCTAACCCCATCTATCCATCCACCTCATTGAAATGGGTACCTTTTTTGATTTTTTGTATCTATTAAGTAATGTTTGCTTTATTAGTCCCCGTCATTCTGTCTTTTCAATCCTTTGATCATTACCCCAACATCTCTCAACCCCCCCTCCCCCTATTTTTCTCGCTCTCTCTCACTTTCTCCTTATCTCCCTGCTGTTGCTACGGAAACAGTGGACAGGGGAATTCCGGGACTTGGTGCAGCAAAGCATTTTGGGTCAAGGCTTGGTGTTTGATTGCATTATTGATTCATATTGATACAGTGGACTGTATTTTTAACCAGCCATGCAGTGAAGCAGAGAGAAACGAATGGTGGGACAAGCTAAACCTTTTATGAGGTACAATGTATAACGTAGAGTGGCGTTGACTGAACCTACAAAGGAAAGGAAGGCGCCGAACAACACTTTATGGGTAGACACATTTGACTGCTCATACTTCCATGTTAATATCCAAAGAAACGGTAAATCAGTTTTCTGGACTGATACTGATAATTAGGTATTTCTGCATTTATAAAGAAAGACAATCCTTTTTTTCTTGTAATTGGGCTAAATTGTGCAGACATTATGCATTATTCTTGCCTAAACCTTATCCATAACTATTGTTTTCTGATCTTTGAAAGCAAGAAGGGTCAATGAACGCAATAATCTTCATGGAATTCAACATTGGTGTTTGCAAGATTGCCCATCTTTTCTAGCAGGACAGTGAGGTCATTCAGAAAAAGTATAAATCCTTTGTCTTTAGGACTGATGCCTTTAGTAGCTTTACCATCTGCTGTTCCAAGAACAAACTCCATATTTCTGTGACTCTGCAACTTGTTTCTAGCTGTCTCAGTACAAACAGGATAAATGATCAGAGAGAGTGCCCTGCTGGCTAGAATGCAAAGAGGAGAGCGCTGCCTGCTCCCTCTCAGAAAAGGAGAAAAAAAAAACCTGCAGAGGTAGCTCTACAGTGAACATTGGTGCAGTGCCGCTAGTGCCTCCGAAGGCCAAGACTGAGCATTACACTCTCCTCCTGACTGCATTACTTTCAAAGGCAGCTGACACACTCTGCATTATGACACTGTACACGTCTATCTCCGCTCTCATAAGGAAACGTAATCAGTGAGTGGGTGGAGGTCGAATAGAAGAATGAAATGTTGCATTAATCACTCCATTACTTTGTCTTCCATGCTCTGCCGTCCTGTCTCCCCTTGTTTTATTTCCATAATTATTTTTCTGTCCGCCTTTCTCTCTTTCTTCTCAGTAGAAAAATATTGATTCCCTTCATTGACAGACATATACCATTGGCCTGAACTGACTCTTTAGTCTTACTTAGAGGCTCACTGATGTAAGGAGATATGCTGCGCCATAACAGAGTGGAGAGCCCCCCCCCCCACCCCTCTCTTTTTCTCTCTATCTTCCTAAAGGTCTAACAATAACATGCAGTTTCATACCACCTTAAATCTACTCTTTTTTACTACTCTGGTTTTCTTTTGTTTGCCTCCCATTCACACACACTTTCCCTCCCTCTGAATCGATGACCTCTAGGCTTGTGTTTAATCATTATTGGTAGTCTGGATCCCCTGAGGCCTATTGGGTTGCACTCACATCATTTTATTTCATGAGTGCTACTACAACAGTTGAGCCACAATGGTGTCAGGAGGAGAATCATGTTGACCAAGGAAAGTGTAAACTGATCGATTACGTCCAATATGGTTATAAACAGGAAATTGTGAATTTAAAACTAAGGAATATAAATTTGTCACCAGAGAATTGAGGGTTTCCTCATACTCAAAAACGACTGTATGTCATAATCATCCCGAAAGTCTTTGTTTATTATACATGACAATGAATATATTGTTGACTTTGAACCACAGTTGTAATCTAATTTGTTTCAGACAAATCCTGAGTGGTACCCGCATGAGTCCTGAACCCGGAAATGAGTTAGCATCTTAGCACTTTTGGGTTACCTCATCTAGAAGTCAACAAATGTTTGAATGAGTCAAATGCCTAAAATAAGGTCTGTGGTTAACACAAGCTTACAAAATGTTAGGTTTTGTTTTCTAAGAAATAAAATATGTTAGTAAATACCCCATGTGTTAATTACTCAATCTTTTTAAGTGTCATAAAAAAAACGGTGGTTACTACAAAACATGACCTATCCTTTAGCTTAACGGTGGCATTTAGCCATGCAACCATGACGTAGTTCATTAATAGCCTACTGTCAGCTTTTTACTCTCAAGGTTTGTATTTATGCTTCAACTATTATGAATAGGAAAACAGCACCAACTAATGACCACATTCACCACTAAAGCCAGCACATTCATTGCATACAAATAAGAAAACACAAGCCGAATGCAGAAACACTTGCACAAAAGTTATTTCTGGAAAACCTTTAAAAATGTATGATCTTGTTCTGACATGACGTAAGAATAATCTTCCCCTGGTATTACACACGATGGTCTGTAAACCATGTCGAAGCTTGACAAACCATCATGTGTCATGAATAGTCATTTAATGGGATATAAGGCAGTTCTGTCTAAATATTGTAACCATTTTAAGAGTTAAGCTTTCTTAAGTTGTTTGTGTTGACATTTTTTAGCCATTGTAGATCTCTCATTAATTGTTTCATAAGAAATGCTTAGACCTTGTTTAGTTTTATACGTATATAATACTTTTTATAATCACTTAATTCCCTGTCCTTCCCTCCACTCAACAAGTCCTTCACTAT